TGGTGAGCAACACAAGAACAAAACAGTACCTTGCAAAAGTGCAGATGGGAGCACACACACAGCCACTCTGTCACCAACTGTGTGGCTCCCACCAGGTAGCAATTAGCACAGAATTTGCACCACAATGTGTAGGCACAATAATCCTAAACTGCTGGCAAGCTCCCTCATCTGGCATCATAGCTGTTCTGGTATTAAGTCAGACAGCCAGCATTGCTCAGCCTTTGGGAAGGGGTCTTCTCCCCACACAATGCTGACTTGAGTCTCAGTTTGGAGTGTTGCTTTCCCACACTGAGCAGTCCCTTGATCTGTGAGTAGTGCCTACGACTTCTACAAGGACCACTTGCAAAGGACAGTTCGGCTCAGCAGGCTCTTTGTAAATGTGTGGCCGTGACACATTCATCAGTAACAATGACCCCGTAATCATTTACAATGCCTTTGGGCCTCCATGGGTAACGAAAAATGCTGCTATGCCAAGCCAATGGGAGAAAAATTTGTGCCATGGTGTTGGCTTTAAAGCTGGAATTGTGAAGCATTATTTGTATTGAAAGATGAAAAACCAAGTGGGAAGGGTGAGAAAACTTGAAAGGAAATAGGCTTAGGGAAACAGAAGCTGGAAGTAATCAATAAATCATAGAATAAAGTAAAGAGAAAGAACCTTTAAAGTACCCCGCTTAAATGTCAAGAGTATTAGAACAAAAGATATCAAAGCAGGAGAATGTGTGACAGCAGAACATGCTGAAACCCTGATGTAAAGTATATTCACTCCTGAGCATAGGAAAAACACTGGCAATGAAGGGCAGCAGAGAAGAACGGAATAAGAAATCAGGTAACTGTGTAGGTTCCTTTTCCCTGTATAGTTTGAACACACAGGATCAATATTATTGTTTCTAGAAGATTCTGGGGAGTAAAACTGAAAAAAACAAACACCATCACAGCAGAGGAAAAGATCAGCTTTAAATTTTATAATGTGCTGAGAGTGTTATCACCTATGCATATGCCATCAATATCGCAGAGTAATAGAATCTTGCTTACACTGTTCTACACCAAAAAGAAACAAGGTCAGCCAAGGCAGAGCTGTTCTTGTATTTATCCCCAGACAAAATAATACAGCTAAAATTTAGAGGTTTTTCTAATGACGCTCTTTCAGTGATGCACTTAATCACACAGAGTTCCAGTCACACATAGCTCTAGGCATACGTGTTAGCCCCACTGAAATCAATGTATATAACCATATACTTAAAGTTAAGCTGGTACTTAAAACATTTTTCCAAGCTGGAGCCTAAGTGCTGATGGATTACCTAGTTAGCTATGAATTGCATGGTTGTATCTAGTTTTGGCTACTGGCTCGTAAACAGTTATCCATTCTGTTGGAAGCAAACTTATAATCACTGTTATTCATGTAATACAATAGATCCTTCTGCCACCCCACATGTGTATACTGTGAAACAAAAGTTTTCTGTTCAAAGGGGGTTTGCAGTCAACTAATCAAAGGCTGCTTATGTTCTTCTTAGCTGAAAACTGTACTGAAAAAAACTATCACACTTTGGTATACCTTGAAGACCAAAATTTGGGAAGTCTTCACAGAGGCTGCGGGGACTAGCCTGTCCCAGTAAAAGGCAGACAAACCTCTAGCCCTATGCTTTGAGTGACAGACTTCATCAAGCACGGCAGATGTCAGGACTCCTGCACCTATTGTGCTTCACTGATGGGCAGCAGAACTGGGCCAGAGCTATTCTTAATAGCCCTGGTGGCACTGCCCACTACCCAGGCATTTCTTTTTTGGGCCAAGGGCCAAACAGATACCCTTTGCGATATGTGTGCAGTCAGGATATGGCTGAAGTAAAAAGCCATTAAAAACCTCACACACACAGAGGATATTTCTTGTTGTGGAACTAAAGCATCACCTTAAAACCATGTGAATCAGTCAGGCAGTGGCAGGGGAGAAAAAGCACATTGTCAGTTTAAATCAGTTAGTGATATTCGATAGGGAAACAGAGAACCTTATTCCATTTTAAAGAGTCTTCGTTAAAGTATCTTGCCCTTCTGCTGTATGCATATAAGTGGCAGTACTGATATGCAACAGTAATGTCAGCAGGTAAATTGAGTGTTAATGTTCCTGTTAATGTGGCTGAGCGTGCCCCCTAAAAAAAAGGAGATGTTTACAAAAACCTGATGGGTCTGACGTGAGCAGAGTGATGAGTCAGGAAAAAAAAAAAAAAACAACTTACTGCAAGTGCTCATTTGACAGCAAAGGATTTTGTGGTATACCTCAATAAGACATTTAAAATTTCACTCATAATTTTATGAAATGTCTCTCATTTAAGTTGTCAAAGCCTGACAGGCTTGTTAACAGCATCAAGGGGTGAATGGTCCTTCATCTTCTTGCTCTTGCTCAACTGAATGATCGATGAACAAACTGAAACTGACAGCTGCGGCAAAGATACCAAGAATTAAAAGAGTTCCAGAAGATGTTTCTGCTCCTCCCTGTCTAATTCAGTGTAAAGAATTTGATATTCTGTTCAAGAACAATTTGAAAAAAAGAAGAACAGCAGTAGCTTAAATCCTGGCCTTAAGTCCAGCTCTTTTGCCCACTCCAGTAAGGACAATAGACTGTGATTAGGCAGGGCAACTTGTGAGACTGGAGTCCATTAGTTATCTTCTGTTTTCAGGTGCCTACTTCCACCATGAACCAAGGAGCTGAGAACCTACCAAAGGAATAAACATGAAAGGTTGTTAGAGTGTCCCCAGGATTTACACATTGTCTTGAAAAATTTGACCCTAAGAACAGCAAAATCAAGCATTTTTCTTAATAATGTCCTCCATTAAAATGTCAGTATTTTGGGGGTGATGTTAGCTATCACTTGAACTTAATGACTTCAGTCTATAACTAAGTGTTCCTGAAATTTCTATTAAAAAAAAAAAAAAGGGTGATGCATAAGAATTACTGTGGTTTTTCACTGCATAACAATGCTTGCTGAAAGACAAGTTTTACCAGATGTACTTGAAACCTCATTCTAAGAGTTAACAAGGGAACCGAAGCATGTCACTTAAATAAATGACCATGCAGATTGGCTAAGTTTTGAGCATTAGGTCAACATTATAACAAACCTGGTGGATGACATGCAGACCAAGAATGATTCCAGTCTCAGGATGTGTAATACACTGGAGGGGGACACACAAAGGGGCATGGGGACACTCAAAGGGGCGTGGGGACACCCTGCATAGCCTGCTCAGGGACAGCTGAGAGACCAGCAGAAAGCCAGACATCATTAAAGTAGTGATTCCTTAGAAGTTATTCAGCTCTCTCCTATCAAGCCATCAAAGTCTACAGGTCTGCATGAGGCAGAGCACCACCAACAGGTGGAGGGACCACATGCTTCCCCTTTGCTCAGCACTGGTGAGACACATCCTGGAGTCCTGTTCTGGGCTTCCTGGTACAAGCAAGACAAGCACTTACTGAAAGCAGATCCAGTGAAGGACCACAAAGATGATTAAGGGTTTGAAGCATCTGACATATAAGAGAGAATGAGAGCTGGGACTGTTCAGCCTGGACAAGGCTCCAGGGGATCATACCAATGTGTAAAACACCTGATGGGAAACTGCATGGAAGCTAGAGCCAGACTCTTCTCAGTAGTGCCCAGCGACAGGAAAAGAGGTAATGGGCACAAATTGAAATGTAGGAAATTCTTTCTAAACATAAGAAAAACCTTTTTTTTTTACTGTGAGGATGATCAAACACTGGAAAAAGTTGCCAGAGAGGATGTGGAGTTTCCCTTCTTGGAGATAATGGACCTCAACAGACACAGTCCTGAGGACTAGGATTGAGTTCAAGTTTCCCCCTGCTTTGAGGAGGGAGGTTGGAGTAGATAATCTCCAGAGGTCCCCTCCCACTTCAGCCATTCTGTGATTCTGTGACAGCCCCATCCTCATTTACACCTTGCAGATATTGGTATACTGAATGTTTGTTATTTCTCTTCTATAAAGGGCGCGGCGCTGTCACCGCCGAGGCCCGGGTTCGATTCCCGGTCAGGGACACTCCCGGGCAGGTGGAGTTCGTTAGCCCTTAAAAAGGCAATCCATCTACGTCCTAAGGACCTCGCTGCCACCGTCCAAGCTCGCTTGGCCCCAGCAGATGAACCTTAGGATTAAAGGGTGGGCTCAGTTCCGCGCACACTGTGTCTCACCTAAAAAATCCAATGCGCAGGCTGGAAGGTGTAAAGACCTTCCCCGGATCTTCGCTCGCAAAAACTGGCCATTATTGTTATTTCTCTTCTAGGAATGGCATATATAATCAGTGTTTTTTACAGAATATGCATCAGTTTATTGTAATTTCCTTGACATACAAGCTGAATTTACAACTTTATTGCTGTCCTTATTTTTCCTGTTTCTTACTTCCACTTTGCAGAGTGCTCTCTAATGAACAAGGTCTATAGAGTACCTCACACAATGAGAAAAGGCAAAAACCGATTACCCTTTATTGAGAAAGAGCTATTTTTAAAGCTGCATTTGTTACTTAGTTCTGTTGAGTCAGCAAAAAGCCTTTCTTACTTTCTTACAGAGTGTGCATACCATGATGTCCTTTGTAAGTGTGCAGTATTTAAGGTCTGGTGTTACTATCCCAGAGTTAACAACTCCACATGGTGCCACTGTCCCATGAGAAACTAAGAGATATAAAGACACTTTCAGGAGCTGCAGTTCTCTCCTATTTCATAAGGTCAGCCATCCATCTCTGGCTATCACCAATAGTGGCTATTTCTTTTGTGCCTCTTCCTGTTCCTTCTGTATCTGCATACAGTGCAAAAGAGTAGTTTCCTACTCTCCACTGTCTTGTTTACTACGGTTAGATGCTATTTTTAAGTGTAGTGGTAGGTCTCAAATCAAATATGTATCTGTTTCCCCTACACTTTTAGGACTTGGGATAATCCATGGGCTGCACATTTAATGCTTCAGTTCTGATTCAAATGTTCCCTTGAACCAATCTCTTTTTCCATGTCCCCCAGGGTGGATCACAGTTGTATAAAACTGCAACGCTGCCAAAAATGGGAAACCTCATGTCAGTTCCGAAAAACTTGCATGGCTGCTACACAGACGTCTCAGCTACCTCCCAGATAAAAATCTCACTGAACTTCAGACAGAACTCGAAGTAACATTGACACTTACGCTTGGAAATAAGAGGGTGGCACAGACAGCAGGGAAGAGACAAGTGCTCGTGAAAGACTTCAAAATGGAGGTAATTCACTCTTGCTGACGGGAAGGCCTTGAGGAACTCAAACTAAAAATTATTGCACTGTTGCAAGAATGAGAGAAAAATCACTTATTATTACGAAAACACCACAGGGCCATTCAAGCTCCTTGAAAGCTTTTCTGAAAACATACCTTCCGTGAAGTTACGGAGCTACAGAAATTTTTGTTGAAATTTTAATTTTCCCTACTGTGTTACCTGTTATTTAATGTCTATCATTATGGATATTCATATATAAATGTAAGCGTAAACAAAAATATGTGTATGTGTGTGTATGTATGCAAGAATATAACCGTACGAGCATATGTTTGTTTATTTGCATCCTGTGTGTGTACAACTACTATAGCAAAATTATTTAGATGCAGAACTGGTTTGCAATCCATTAATTTTTGCCTCCTTTCTGCACTTGTTATACCAGTACCAATTAGTTTACAGGGATTATTTGTAGAGCTAGTCAGTGGCAGTGGTCCCCAAATGAGATGGCAGTGAGCTCAAAAATAATTTTAAGCCAATATTTAGCCAGAGCTGTATACTAAAATAAACATAGGGCATGTGTATTTGTGTTTGGGGCTCATCCTGCCCTTCATTGCTGCCCAGCTACTAAGTAAACAGTCCTCAACCCTTATCCCAGCGTGAATCAGGATGTTTGGGAGCAAGGGGGCAGGGTGCTGTTTGGCACATCAGATGCATTTAACAACAAGCCACCCGTGCTGTCTGCCAGTGCTTGATGCTGATTATGAGCATCTATGTTGGGAACTGGAGACATGGCCACATAGGAAAATTGGGGCTCAGCCCCTCTGGGCAGTGATGCCCCACCTGTTTGCGAGAACCACACTGCTCCATCCAAGGCTTTGGGGTGGCATAGGGCTGAAACACACCTGGGAGCATCACTCACTGGTGGGCAGAGGATCAAACAGGTCACTGAGTCCTCTTCAGCCCGCTCAGTGCATGTGCTGAAGTTAGTCACTACCAGTAGCTGCTATATTTATAGAGGTATGTCGCAAGTTTGACGTAAAATATGATTTGTTTTTTCCATACAGCAGGGCAAAGGTGCCTTTCTCCTCCCCTTTTTCAGTTTTTGGATAAACCCTTGCTTGTTTTCACAGGAACATTAGCTCAAATCTGCTGCTACTGTGCACAGCCGATAAAACTATTGCTTGGAAAGACCATATGTCACATGGAACTACTCAAGAGGCATAAAGCCTAGCTTTTTGTCGATCCTTTAAAGATGCGATTTTATGCTCAGTTAAAATGGAAAAGAGCATTATGTTTAAAGATAAAGCCATTTACTGTGCAACCACTTTGCTAAATTCTGTCACCAAATTACTTGTTAGTAAGACATTTGGACTGAAAAAAAAAAAAAGTTGTTACACATCTCTTTTTCCTTGTTTATCCGTTGCTATGACAATGGTAATGACAATATCACCATAGACAAGAACTAAAATCTTTTACTAGAGACAAGAAAATACAAAATCAGGTCTGAGGAGAAAGTTCGTTTGTTAATATACTTCTTGCTACTCTCTTAGACCCAGGTAGTTCAGGGTCCTTGCAGGTTGTTTCTGTTTGGAGAACAAACGGATAAGGGAGTGAATTGAGCTTTTTAATGTGCTTCTGTTTGTTTAGAAAGAATGTACACAATGTCCCGTTACTCTGGGCAAAGCGGGAGTCAAAACAATAGGCAGTGTTTTCTCTTTTCACACTTTCAAGCTTCTTTTGAGCCACAACTCGAGTTATCTCTCTCTTACATTTCTCTCAGGGTCAGGCTACAAGGGTTTTCCTTGCTGGCTCTGGTGTCTCCTTGCTACTCCCTATGTCTGTTTCTCTGATGTTTCTGCTGTCACTTTCTGAATTGCTTCGTTTCATCATATGCCACCTTGTCCCCAGCCTTTGCAGTTAGATCCTGGAGAAATGCCTCAGCCCCCACAGTTCAGCACTGCTAGGCATGTGTGGTGCAGTATGTAGGGTGCGGTATGTTATGGTGTGGCTCCTGGAGTCTCAATGAGTATGTCCCAAAAAGAAGGCAGTTCTTTTCCTGGGGAAAGGAAGCTTTCTCACCCACCATCTTCAGTGAAGTTTCATGGCTGACTTTCAGCATAACACCGAATTTATTTCCAACAATGTATTTTTGCTCCCTGTCAGATCAGTTTCTCTACAGTAGTGCTGTAAGGTGGGGGAGCAGAAAATATGTTACTATTTCCTAACAAAACAGCCTCTGATGCAACTATAATAAAGTTGTGAAAAAGTCCTAGAGGAGTTAAACAGATTTGACAGCATTTAATTTCCATAAATTTAGGGCCTGATCCTGCTTTCCTTTTGCTAATGAGTACTAGAGGGAGATAATGCATGAGCTTTTCACACAAACTAAAGACAGAAATAATGGCCCAGCTCAGCAAGGAAAGACAGGCATGGGATTGAGCTGTTGGGACATATTTATGGCCAATAGAGGTAACTCCAGTGTTCCTGCTATGGATTAGACCCGTCTCTGCTGTGGTCAACAGGTCTCCTGTCCAGACCTCACTGAGTTATACAGATAATGCTTCTGGCAGCAGCTTTGCTGCTGGCCCTCAGGGCTTTGCTCTTCAGTTGACACAGAAGTTGAATATTACATAATGTCTGCTCAGGCAGGGAAAGATCTTTGACCTTGAACAGCAAAAACTCATAATAGTTGCGTTTTCATTTTGCTATTAAGGAAACAGACTCAAGGAATTTTTATTTACCTCAGGTTTATGCCACAGCATGGCCCATTCGACACATAAGGAAGTTTCTTCCAGTTGTTCTCAGAAAAGACACATCTCTGTATCCTTACACTGACCTTTTGCTGGCTGCGAGGAAACAGTCAGTCTCCGTCAGAATAAAGCTCGGTGTTGAAGATAACCCGTCAACATTTTTGGAACCAGTGTGAACTCAGTGTCAGCACTTGCAATACAAATCTAGCTGGGATGTTTTTGATGACATAAGAAGAGCACTGGAACTGGACTGAAAGCATTAAGCCACAGCCTCAGGACCATGCTCTAAATGTAAGGAGATTACCTTATGAGGCCATTTTGTCTCAATCTCTCCTTTTGGATGTGTTCCACTTTGCTCACAATGCTTGCATATCCACTGAGTCAGAGAGCACGAGAATAACTCTTCAGTGAAGGGCTTAGGGCACTTGCTGGAAAGGGTTCCAGCACAGACTGAAGTGCTTCAATAAGGCAGAACAGTGTCAGCAGGAGCAACAAGCCATTTTCAACTCCATAGTACTTTCTGGACTGCTTAGCCACACTACTGGAGAAGACACAGCATTTCAGGTAATAGATACCCCTATCCCTTCACTCTAGCTGAGACCACTGGCCATGAGGTAGATGGGTACAGTCTCATCCTGTCCTTTCCTGCCCAGCCACCACATGTGCATCCAGCTCTTTTCCAGTGTGAGCTGTTAAGAGCTCTGTGGCCCTGGGCTACTGCAGACACCGCCCAGTGAGGTTCCAGTCTGCAGCAGTGCTGCTACCACACAGGTCACTGCACCCTCCTGCCTGCCTCCTGCCTCCTGCCTGCGCTCTTCCTTCTTAACTGTTTTGCTCTGTTTATGGCACCTGGATTAAGGCTGTCATGTACCTTGGCAGGCAGTTTCTCCCAGTCCTAACCTGACTGGTAGTACTCGACTGAGAGAATTCATGCATAAGGTCAGGATCTCCTTTGCGTCATCAGCAAACAAGATGTCAGAATTAGTCTGAAGATCCACCACATATAAAGAGGCCAGATAGGTGCTTTATTCCTTCCTTCACCTTTACACACTCCTCCCTTTCAGACAGGAACACCATTTGCTGCTAAAGTAACGTTCACAGCAGTTAAGCATCCTTTTTATCAACAAACTGACCTGCCACTTGCCTCTGTAACTCCATCATTCCACGCAAGCAATCCTACCCTCAGCTTTGTTAGGAGTGATCCAGGTTTTTATTCACTGATCTATTCTGAGTTTTACTCTTGCTGATCTGGTAATCAAGCAGCTTTTTGATGAGAATCAGTACTCCTGACACTCAGCTAAAGCTACCTCTGTTTAACCAACAGGCCAAAAGCCTTCTGAATCAAAGCCTGTGACTCCTAAAAACATTAGGTTAGACTGCATAAACTGTTTGTTGTCAATAGCTATAGTCATGCGTATATTTGGAAGTAAAGTATTAACTTATTCCTGTGGGAAAGGAAAACTCTGATTTGATGATAGCATTTTACACTCTCTAAATACAAGGAAAGGTACAGCAAAATCAACTCCATGTTCTGTTGCTTAGCTGTTATTCCTGACTAAAAATGTTTCCTCAAAAAGTCACTGGAAAGTTTTTTCTGGTCCAATATGCCTAAAATAATTACTGTGTTGAAAAACTGACATCATCTGCTTGTGACCTGTTTTGTTGCCTACAACCTTCTAAAGATCATTAGCAAAAGTCCTAGAAACCCCAGAAAAAATGTGGCACATTTTTTCTCTCCTTTTTCAGAACAGTTCCATTATGCCACTTTTGAAGGCTTTGATATTTTGTTCCTAATCCTGATTTAGAAGCATCTGCTAATAAATTGACAGGTTGTGACACCTCCCCATAATTTTAGAGCTTTTTCACCTTAGATTCTGAGTGCTGCTTTTATGGTTTCAGAAGGCTTTTTATTCACAGAGCTTCCATCTTGAGTAGCTCTTTAAATGGGGCTGTGAAGACAGCTATGTTTCATATACATTTTTCTGGAACTGAATTCAATGTTGCCTATAAAATTACAATTCCTCTGTCTTCAGCAGGTTTCATTCTGCAATGGTTAGCTTTAGACTTCTGTGATTTCTCATCTTGCTAGCATCAAATATATTTAAAATACTTACATAAGGAGCTTATTTTTATTGGTTGCACTTGAAATTCATCCTCTTCGGTGTGTTACCCTCTTTCATTACATACCTAATAAATCCAGGCTCATCATTTGCTCTGTGTTGTGCCCAGTGTGTTCACTGGGAATAGAAGGTTTGAATATCTGCCTCTAGCAAATGGGAAATCAGTTGTAGTTAGAGCCTTCTTATTACTCCTTAACATTTGCATCATGGCATTAATCAGACACCCTGGTGACTGAAGCCCTGTTTAGTTTGGATCTGTGCATATCTATACTAAGAAGTGACCATGTACTGTAAATAATTCACGGGAGATGAAATAATGCTTTGCTAGATGTAGCTTGCCAGTAATACAGTTTTGCTTGGTCTAAGATGGGAAGCCCTGCACATCTTCTGTCTCCGGTAATGTGTCATTACAGTGAGGGGTTTTTTCTTACCTTTGCTTTGCAGATTCCTGCTCTACGGCTTATGTCTGTGAAAGGTAACCAGACAAGCAAGCCTACTGTCAGCCTGTGGGTATAAACTGGTCACACAAGTATTAATATTTGCTTCAGCCACAAATTAAAAAAAAAAAAAAAGAAGTAGAAAACCACTATTTTAAAGACTGGACACACTGTCCTTATGAAAATCATTGTTTTAAACTTTAAAATATTTTTTTTTCCCTGTGAAATAACAAAAGACAATGAGTGAGAACACTAAGCAAGAATGGTCCAGATCAAACACTTCAAGCAAAAATGGTGGGCACAGACAGGGTCTGGCTTTGGTTCTGCACTAACAGTGCTTGAACCTGGGTAACCAAAGGAGTTAATCCATTAAGCCCAATCCATTGATTCTTTCCTAGGGCTCACTGAGACTTACCTGATGTCCAAAAGCCTCAAATCTGTGCTAGACATATGTCTTTTCCTTGGTCTTTTCCCCAGGTGCACCTACAAGGATGGAAATGGAAGCCTCTTTTCTGGGACAACCAGACCTCCACATGGCCTCCAAACCACTAATGAGAGACAGCAACCATTCAGACACATTTCACCAGGGGGCTGCTTGCAGGGGGAAGCCTGGAAAGTCAGGCAGATCACGCATTGCTTTTAAAATCCAGACATGATAAGAAGTAGAGGAATCTCTTTCTATCAAAGATTGCTGGTGATATAGTTTAGGGTAGGGAGGGGGGAAATAATTATTTTTTCACAAAATTTCTTGTTTATAAATGCAAATACTGGGCATTTTAAAAAACTGAATGTTATTCTGAAGGCTAATTTAAAATGTTATTTTAATGGCAAAGTTTTATCCAGACCTTTTCCTACTATGTCTTCACATATTCATATATAGTTGATGCTGTGGGTATTATTATTACTTATGTGATAATAGGACAGTTGAAAAAGGGTTTAATTTTACTGTCATATCACTAAGGATTCCTGCTATCTGGAACCAAAACAATTGTAATACTCATACGTCTCCTATTTATGTTGTAATGAAATAATATTGACAACTTGAGCATTACAATACAAACAGAAGGCACTCTGTACTAAGAAAGAAGACACTTATACTAAATGGAGATCATTATCTGTCACTACTAGTAACCCTTAGATAGAAATTACTCAATAATTTTTTTAGAAGAACACTTTTTAAAAAATGTAAATAAAAAAGAGACATGAAAAAAAAATCCTTCTCATCTCTGAATTAGGCTTTCAAAAATGTTAATTATTTTCCTTTTTCAAAAATTAAAACAAAAAAGAAATCACAACCAAACACCTGAACTATTTCCATTGAAAGATAAAACCTGAACTTCCTCCGGCTGCAAAGACTACAAAGACTTTCAGGACCATGTTGCTGATTTTGCTACCAACCAATGTGGTGTTTGGGTGTTTTTTTGGTAGGACATGGCATAATAGTTAATATTCTTATTACTTCCTCTTTTAATTACGTACCAGGACAAATTCTGCATTTATTATGCATTATGTGCTTGTGCTAGCTCATGGGAATTTTTGGGATACTCTACATCATAAAATTGGAACAGACTATGCAGGCTCCTATCTATTTCATCTTACTTTCCCTTTTTTTAATGACTTACATCTAAAGAATCAAACTTAAAAACACCCCAATATGGTGAGCTCTCGTTTGTTTGTTTGTTTGTTTGTTTGTTTGTTTGTTTTCACTTTTCTCACACCTAAACTACTGGGCAAAGACTTCAACGGTAAAATCCATTGTTTCAGACCTGTAGTGAACTCCCTTCCAAAGCACCAGTATGGATCAATTCTACCACACTCTAAGCCAGAGAACTTGCATAAGTTTTAGAAGAAGCTGAGAAGTTGTTCCTTGCTTCAATTTCTACTACACTTTTATGCAGCGTATAGGTTATTTATGTTATTTGTTCTGACACTTCATTTAATTATTGCGCTTTCTTTCTTTTCTTTCCTAAAGCTTCACAAAGGGTTGTTTGACCTTGTATGGTACTCACCACTCAAGAGTGGTATGTGAGAGGGAACAGCTATATCATATTCTGTGTATAGAAGGGGAATTCTGTTTCGGTGACTGTTGTGACTGTTGACAAACACTGACAAGGGCAGCCTTAACCAGTTAACCTTTTGCAAAGTTATGCCAAACCAATTACAGAAGTCTCACATGAAGCATTCATCTTCAGCCTCCCAGTTGCCAAATACACCAGATTTTTTTTCCCGCAGTATTTTCTTAAACAAGCACACCATTTGGGTGCAGGATAACTCACTCGTGTATCTTGATGTTCTGCACACCCTTGATTTCCTCCTCTCACCACCTACAACTGTTTCCTCAATGCCAACACATTTTAGATAAGATCTGTGGTTGATGACTGAAAAAAACCCAACCTCCAGTTGCTATTTATGATATGATTAGACAGGTCAAGTTTAATTTCAGCATCGTGCATGAATCTGTTATCCAATCATCCTAATGATACATTACTCAAACCAGCAGTGGGGCTGAGGATGGAAAGAAAACCTTGATTGTATGTTGTCTGCCAATGATTGGAGTTTGTTATGAAAGAACACCAACGCAATTGTCATTGGCTCTCTTTGCCAAAGGTAGGGAACGTTCATATTTTTCATTGTCATTGTGCCTGAAGCTGTGTGACAGATGAATAGAGGTATGCCAGAAAGAATGTAGCATTGTGGGGGGCGACTGCTTTTCCTCAGAGTTAAGGCAAGGGTACACTTAATCAAATTAACACCTTTAAGAAAATACCATCTTTCAGGTAGAAGATACTGCTCCTCAGCTGAATGTTACTGTCCAGATTACATAGTCCAGCCTGCTGAATCAAGAAATCACCAGTGGTGTTCTCAGGTAGCTTGTTTTGTTTTGCCATTTCATCAGTAGTTGCATGTGTCTGAAGAGATCCCATGTTTAGTGGAAGGTGCCTCCTTGCAGGGGCACAGCTTCCTGGATGGCACTCACGCTGTGCCGCACATCCTGCCAGGACCTGAGCATTTCCCAGCAAACACCCCTCCAGTCAGTAAGATGTACTCATTGATAAAGGAGGCAGCACTGCCAGATCAAAACAGCAACAGAGATGCAGAAACGGGTTGAATCAGTGCAGGCAGATCAAAACACCGACACAGCCATCACATCTACATGTTAAAATTTCTTGCAGGGAAGTGAAACACCTGGAGGAGGGATCTGTTTGCCTCTGTGTTTTTATAATGTCACTCGGGAGCTGCTCTGTATGTGGGTTTTGCCCCTTTGAGACTCTTTGGGATGCCTGTTATCCACGGGATAAAACCTCTTTCCCAAACCTGACTATAGGTAGAGGCAGCAGAATCAAAGCAGGAGTATTGAAACACTTGTGCTACAGTGAAACAGAGCCTTTGTGTGTAGCTGTCCTGTGACTGCAGCCCCCACTCCCACTTCCAGAATACCTCCATGCCCTTGAATGTGCCAAACACAAAATCTGGCACCGAAAGCTAACAGTCTCATAACTTCTGGGAAAACATAAATTAACAGATCACTTTTTTTTTTTTTTTTTTTTTTAAAATAAACTCCACTTATTCCGTTCTCCCCAGAGCCAAGCACTGTTGTATGGTCACATAAGAATAAAATACGCTCTCTCTTTTAAATCCCTCATCATTTCTGTCCTGAGGCTGTGCTGGCTATACAAACTCTGAGCTTCTGGCAGCATATTCCCTTGCCCACCCAGGCTCTACCCACAACAAACCGCACAGGCAATACATTTATGAGTAAAGCTCAGCCCTCAAGAACAGAAGAAAGAGTAACAGACAACTGCTGGCTCCAGGTAAGGATCTGCAGGGGCTCCATCCATGACCCTGAGCAAATCATACAACTGTAAAGGTTGGAAAAGACCACTAAGATCATGGAACCCACCTGTTACCACTCCAGCTTCCCCAGTGTTAAAACAGGCCCCAATATCCTATCCCAGACACCTGAACAAACCTACTCATCTTATAATACTTGTTCTGTACTTGTACTTTTACTTCTTATTTCATAGAATCATAGAATGGTTTGAGTTTGAAGGGAGCTTATAGATCATGGAGTTCCAACCCCTTTGCCATGGGCAGGGACACCTTCCACTAGACCAGGTTGCTCCAAGGCCCCTCTGACCTGGCCTTGAGCACTTCCAGGGATGGGTCATCTACAGCTTCTTTGGGCAACTTTTTGTTGTGCACCATCACCCTCATAGTAGAGAATTTCTTCCTAATATCCAATCTAAATCCACCCTCTTTCAGTTTTAAGCCATTCTCCCTTGTCCTGTCTCTGCATGTTGTTGTCAAAAGTCCCTCTTCAGCTTTCTTGCAGGCCTCCTTTAGGTACTAAAGGTGCTATAAAGGAAGGTGATATAAAGTCTCCCTGGAGCTTCCTCTCCCAGCTCTCTCAGTTTCTCCTCCTAGGTACAGTTCTCCATCCCTCAAGTCATCTTAGTGGCCCTCCTTTGGACTCACTTCAACAAGTCAGTATCCTCAGCCCATTCTCAGTTGTTTCAGCTACTAATGTTTAGCTACTAATACTTAATAATTTACTCTCCCTACAATACGTACCCACTACAATGCGGTAAAAACTGACTGGAAAAAAAAAAATGCATTAAATGTCTGAGCCTGTAACCTCTTTTGAGATGGGGAGAGAAAAACCTCGGGAAGCTGAGTAGAAATAGCAGAAATGTTCCACCGACTCCCTGGCCTCACCCCTTCCTCCCCTGACAACAAATACCTCCTCAACACACCAAGACTCCCGCCAAAATCCCCCCAAAATACTCCAAGTGAAACCTGTTCTGTTGTGTACTTGAAATCGCCGGCGGCAAGGAGGGGGCGTTTGGTTTCCAAAGAGGGACGTTTGGTGCGAGGAGGGGTTGCTTGGTGCTTGGAGGCTGAAGCGGAGCTTTCTCCGCAGACCTTATGGAAAAAGGAAGGAGGGGGAAGGAGGGCGAGGTATCCTGCCCGCCGCCCCCCCACCCCGCAGGCGGCGCTGGAGCGGCCGCCGGGCTCCCCCTGCGGGCGGCGGCGGCGCCGGGAGACCCGCGGGGATCGGGACACCTGAGCATCCCCGCGGCTCCGGCCCCTCCGCCTGGACGACGCTCCCTGATTCAGCGTCTGTAGTAGCAGTTGGAATAGCAGTAATAATAATAATGGCTATAATAATAAGGGTAATGATGATAATAATAGTAATACGGAATTCATCAGTAATCACTGCACGGACATCCGACTTTAAAAAGTCAAAAGGCTCTGGAATAGAGATAGCCGCCAGTACACGGGACCCGCTGGCTCAAACACAGCTCCCCCTGGGCAGCTGATAGATAATGTCCTCCTGCTGGCAAATTCGGATCTGCGTGAGCTTTGCGCGCCTGGGAAGTGCGGGACCGCGACTCTGCGGCCACGCTGCTGTTGAAGATAATGCATGGAAAAGGCCGACGTTCTGAGGTCTGCACCGTGCTGCCTCGTCAAGCCCTGGAAGCGAGCCGCCGCCCTCCAGCCTCACCTCAGCCAGCGCCGTGCAAAGGAGACGTGCGCGTTGCAGAAACAGGGGATCTGCGATCTGTGGTTCCTGTGGTAAAGAGCATCAGGAAGCTGCTGACCGTAGGAGTCGTCACAGTCAGAGGCATTACCGGGTGGTGAAAAGCTTAAAAAAAGCTTAAAAAAGCCTAGGCTTCATCTTACAGTATGTCTGCATTATAAATAAATGAAGGAAAGTTTAATTGTCTGTCACAGGCTGACAGTGAGGGTAGGCTAAGCCTCTGCAGTTTACTCTAGTCCCATTGGAGTGGGACCTCAAAGCATGCCTCAGAGGTTTCTGATTGATGAATTTCTGTTTATCAGTGAAACTCTGACTACTCACGCCTTGAAGAGTGGGCACTAGATCTGGAATTAACATGTGGAAGGGGCCTAAGAGCCAGTGAAATGTTTACCCCCTTTTTCTTCTCGTGTACTATCAAATCCTGCTCAGAGCAATGTCTGTGTTGCCTCAGACTTCAAATCCCATTACAGGTGATTACAGTAATCAAGAGTTAACAAACTCACAAATCACCCTACCAAGTCCTTGTATGAAAGAAAGGGCATCATTTCCGACAGACTGGATGTGGAAAAATTAATTTCCTGGCATCCAAACATAAGAACAGCCATGCTGGTATAGACAAGTCCATCCAGCCCAATAGCCTGTCTCAAACATAAACAACAGCTGATGCCTGGGGAACAGCATAAGAGAGGGGTAAGCACACAGCGATAGTTCCCTGGCATGCTGTCCCGAACTCCAGCAAGCTGTGGCTCAGGGACTTCCCTGAGACAGATGTGGTATCTTTAAATTTAATAGCCCTTGATGGATTTTTGCTTCCATGAATTTGTGGAATTGCTTTTTGAACCCATATCAATTTTTGACATTGCAGCATCCTGTGATAATTAGTGACATGCTCCAACAAAACAGGGTTTAAAGAAGAGTCCTTATTTTGTTTGTTTTGAACAGGCCACCTAATAATTTCATCTGGTGCTCCTAGTTCTTGTGGCATGAGAGTCAATTACAATCATTCCCTATTTGCCTTCTTGGTGCCATTCATGATTTTACAGATTTCTCTCATGTTCCTCCTCAAATCCTTGGTTTTCCAGACATATAGTCTTAATCTGTTTTTAAATCCTTTTACAGAAGCCTGGACCTTCCTCTGGCTTCAGTGTTATAACTTTTGAACTACAATAAACAAAAAGGCTTGAACAACACCATTTTTGGGGTGTAGGCACATTGGATGTATTTATATCAGGATGTAGAAGTGTTTTCAGTTTTGTTTCTTCCATACTACGTCCTAAAATTTTATTTGCTTTTTTGAACACTGCTGAGAATGGATCTGGCATTTTCATAAATAATTTTAGATTTCACAGCGCTTCAAGGATTTCTTCTCTTGGAACCAACAGTCCAGCACCTTCAGCTCTGTATGTAAAGTTCTCTGCTTTGCCTGCTGGCATTACAATATGCATATCTACTCTGTATTTCCTCTGTTTTATCCCAATTACTCAGTATCATGAGATGATGTTTTTGTCATGTGTCATGTTTTTACTACCATAAATAACGTTGTGTCACCCGCAAGTTTGTCACCTTGCTGTTCAACCCCTTTCCAGTGTATTAATCCAGCAGACAGATTTGATGCCTACTTAAGATCCTGGCAAAACCAGAGGAGTGCTGGAGGGAGGAAATAGTGGGCACCTTGGTTATTCCTCCTCTTTCCAGGATCCAGCTGAAGACAGGGAGTCAGCCATCAGGGGAGAAGGTGGGGTGGCCTCAGCTGGGCACTGCAGTGGAGGCGGATGGGGTGGCCTGAGTGGAACCCACAGGGCAGTCCTGGATCGAGGGTGAACCTGAGAAGTCAGTGCCCATCCTCTGCCCACCTGGTGGTGGTGTCATCATACCTCCTACACACGAGGCCTGACAGGTATGTTTATTACTAATAACAGGCTAGCCTTTTGGAGGCTGTCCCCATGCTTTCTCGCTGCTTGTCAGTGCTGAGCACGGCCGGTCAGAGCGTGCTGTGAGCAGCACTTGCACAGTCAGAGCTGTCCCCGGTGCATCCCCATTCCAGCGTGTCAGCCAAGCGTTTAAGACACCTGCTTCTTTTCGCTCCTGCGCTGGCCGTGGACTAATAGGGACAAACAGGAAGAGGACCTAGCAGAATGCAGAAAATAATTGTCCTCTGCCAAAAGGGAATGTATGATCAAAACTACAATGGGCAGGCAAGCAGCGAGGCAGTGACCCGAGGCAGCGCAATGTGTCAGGAAGAGAGAGCAGCAGCCCAGGGACAGCAACAGCCCAGAGCCTCAATTTGTAATGACTGTGTGGACAACATGCCAAAAAGTCTCTCCCCACCTCCTTGCTCCAGAGAGCTCTCCTAATGTTCTTAGCCACTTGGACATCACAAGAAAAAGAGCCTGCACATTTCCAACACATGACCTAAGGCATTTGCTCAAGCAAAGCAGCTCTGCTGAACCTGCCTCTAACTTGGAGTGCTCCAAACACCTGTGAGTCAGTCGATGGGAAAATCTCCCTGCCTTCACAAGCACAGATGAGTTTGAACCTTCTGGGCATTTTAGCAGTTTACCATCTGCACATATAACCTTTTTTCTAAGCACATTGAAGTCTTGTAGGAGGATGTTAAATCCAGGAACCAAAATAAGGAAACATGTTTACACCTGCTACATCTGTTCAAGAATTTCCAGCCTCTATTACACTTTTGACTTTCACATTCCTCCTCCTCCTCCTCCTTCCTGTTTGGTCAAATGCCACCATGTTAAAAACAATCCTGTATTTTTCCCCCCAAGTCTCACAGACTTTCTATCGAATCTTGTGAAAACTTACAGCATATGAAATAAGCTGTGAAATGGTCTAGCAACAGAAGCAAGTGCTGGCTGCAGTCTCTCTTGCTTATCCAGGATTTTCTGGATACTGGGATTCATTGTGAAGAAAAATGGCATTAACCACATGAAATATGGTGATTTTAGTTTTTTTAACTAGAATGGAAAACGAACAGTCCAACCATTTCTGATACAGATGAAATCTTCCTGCAAACCAGTTGCAATAAAAAAAATGACAAAAATAGATTATGGAAAGTATTATGGCACACAAAAAAGCAGCACAAAGAAGATCTCTGTTAGCAGATGACCCAGTCAATTATAACTGCTTTGTTATAGAAAACACACGAGTATCTTCTGTCAAAGGTGATCTGTTTCACTGAAAGAATTACCTGTACGATTACACCTATGGCAAAGTCAGATCCTTAGATATGAAACATTTATGAAAAGGAAAAAAGATCCCTGACTTTTTGGGTGGGAGGGGGAGGGAACAGCAAAATAATTCTACTGAGCAGAATTCAAAAGAGATTTCTTTTCATAATTTTCACCAAATTTTATGGAAAGGTTGTTACTGGAAATATTATACAATATTTTTCAGTGAAGCAAGTGCTTTGATTAGAATTATTTCATTCAAGAGTGATCAGTAGCATTTTTATAGCCATTCAAATTAACATATTGATAAAGATGTTGCAAAATAGAGCAAGAGATACAAAAAATATTGGATAAAATCAGAAATTTACCTTCAAGTAATCTATGTTTTAAAATTAGTTTTCTCTTGAAAGACTTATACTGGCTTATACATGAGCTGGATTATTAATAGTATGGGCAAGGTGGCAGTACTGGGAAAAATCCTCTTGTCCCCGTCATTTCCTAATAAAGCCCAGTAAATGGAAGAAAAATGTTTTCATGGGTCAACAGGTAACTAAGGAAAGTGCCACTTAGTGATTATGGCATTCAATGTTATGATACAGGCCTCTGTTGCTTTGAATTTCTATGGGATGCTTGTGTGAAGTATGCTTCCTAAAACAGCAAGAGAAATTAACGACATTAAGGTAAATATGGAACATACTTGGGAAGGGTTGAGGCAAGTCCTGTGGTCCTAACTCAGGCAAATTGTCACTGACAGGTCTTGGCCAATACAGTCTGCAGGTGTCCACTTTCTTTCAGCATTTAGCCCAGTATTCAACCAGAAGAAAACAGTTCAGTAATTCATTAGGATATGATCATGCCGGGCTGGTTACTAATTGTTCAAAATACCATTGGAGGCACTCCAGGATGCTGCACAGCACTCCACAGCTGGCAGCCGTGGTACACAGGCGGGTATGCCACCCAAATAGAGCTGAATAGCATGAGAGCCACAGGAGGAAAGCAAAAATCCCTTGCTTCCAAGCCCATGGGAACCTTCCTGTGTTGTGAGGAGGGAGTTGCAGGTGCAGGGGGCTGCAGGCAGGATGAGTGTAATGCGCAACCCCACTGCCTCATGCCAAAGAGAAATGTTAGCAACAAAATAATTTTACTCCTGGCTGTCAAATGGGAGCTGCGGGGTTCCTCTCCTAAC